TCTTCCCACGGTTGAGGACAGGCGACACTTGACCATAAGCAGAGAACATAGAATCATAGAGCTGGAGGGGACCTCAGAGAGCTTCTAATCCAACCCAACTGCTCAAGGCAGGAATCCTTACGCCATCCCAGTCAAACGGTTGTTCGGTCTATTTTTGAAAACTTCCAGTGATGGATCCGCAACTCTTTAAGGCTTGAGTATTTCTCAACCGTGGCAGCTTTAAGAGGGGTGGATTTCAGCTCTCAGAATTCTGCGGACAGCGTGGCTGACTGGGGAATTCTGGGAGTTGAAGTCCATGCCTCTTAAAGTTGAGAACACTGCTTTATGCAATGTTGCCATTTCGGTCGCAGGCTGCTTCTAGACACGATATCATATAGGTCTACATCTACAGGGAAGGGAAGTAAGCAGTGGGGTATCACAAGGTTCCCTCTTAGGCCCAGGACTCTTCAATATCTTCATTAACGACTTAGATGAGGGAATAGAAGGGGAACTTACCAAATTTGCAGATGATACTAAGCTGGCAGGAAGAGCCAACACCCAAGAAGATATTTGCTAGACCAATACTCGAATACAGCTCATCAGTCTGGAACCCACATTACGTATCTGATATTAACACAGTTGAGAAAGTCCAGAAATATTTCACAAGAAGAGTTCTCCACTCCTCTACTTGTTGCAGAATACCTTATGCCACCAGACTTGAAATTCTAGACCTAGAAAACCTAGAACTACGCCGCCTTCGGTCCAATCTAAGTATAGTATATAAATCATACATTGCAATGTCCTACCAGTCAATGAATACTTCAGCTTCAACCGTAACAACACAAGAGCACACAATAGATACAAACTCAAGGTTAACCGCACCAAACTTGATTGCAGGAAATACGACTTCAGCAACAGAGTGGTCAATGTCTGGAATACTCTACCTGACCCTGTGGTTTCTTCCCCAAACCCCAAAAACTTTAACCTTAGACTATTGACCTCACTCCTTTCCTAAGAGGTCTGTAGGGGGCGTGCATAAGTGCACCAGCGTGCGTACCGTCCCTGTCCTATTGTTTCTTTTATTTTTCTTATATGTATCCATGTATTCATAACTATGTTTTTACTTATACCTATTATCTTGTAAGCAATTGACAAAAATAAATAAATAAATAAATAAAAAATAGGCTCAAGGTCCAGATGGATCTTGACAGACTCGAACACAGGGCCTTATCTAACAAAATGAAATTCAATGGAGAGAAGAGTGAAGTCCTACACTTAGGCAAGAAAAACCAAAAGTACACATATAGACTGGGTGAAACCAGGCTCAATAGCAGGAACTATGAGAGGGATCTTGGAGTCTTAGTGCACAACCAGCTAAATAGGAGCCAGCCGTGTGCAGCAGCAGCCAAAAAGGCCAATGCAATCCTAAGTTGCATTAACAGAGGGATGCAATCAAGATCAAGGGAAGCACTAATACCACTCTATAAAGCCTTAGTAAGACCACACCTAGAGTCCTGCACCCAGTTTTGGTCACCATATTATAAAAAAGATGTTGAGACTCTAGAAAGAGTGCAGAGAAGAGCAACCAGGATGATGAGGGGACTGGAGGCTAAAACATATGATGAACGGTTACAGGAACTGGGTTTGGCTAGTCTAGGGAAGAGAAGGACCAGGGGAGACAGGAGAGCAGTCTTCCAATATTTGAGGAGGGACTGCCACAGAGGGGAGGAAGGGGTCAAGCTATTTTCTAAAGCCCCTGAAGGCCAGACAAGGAATAATGGATGGAAACTGATCAAGAGGAGATTCAACTTGGAAATAAGGAGGAATTTTCTGTCAGTGAGAACAACTAACCAATGGAACAGAAGCTTCATCCCTGGAAGCTTTCAAGAAGAGACTGGACTGCCATTTGTCAGAAATGGTGTAGGGTCTCCTGCTTGGGTGGGGGGTTGGACTAGATAACCTCCAAGGTCCCTTCTAACTCTGTTAATCTGTTAAATCAAGCCATAAAAGTCTTCCTATCCTCTCCTGCTGGCCCCCAAATGCAATCCCTCCCCAGTTCCCTGTGACAAGAAGCAAAGAGTCAGTGTGTGTGTGTGTGTGTGTGTGTTTTCCCACTCTCCCCTCCCCCCCAGCTCCTGCACATGGCACCATCCATCTCCAACTTTTTTGGGGGAAAGTGGACAGACAGTTGAGGAATGCACCTGCAAACAAACGGCCCGTATTTTCCCCTTGAGAGATTCCGATAGGAAACAACCAAATATTGACTGGAGCTTTTATTTAGAAGGCCACAGCCATCCACTCCCGGTTCCTTTGTGGCCTTTTGCAAATATTATTCCAGACCTCAGGAGCAGAGAGGGAAATTTACTAGCGGCTGATTCAGAAATGGACGTTTCTGATCTTCACACAGGACTTTCTTATTTTCTAAATTCTTCTTCAGCCGCAGCTGAGTGGGCTCATTGTCCTTTGCATTCCACCTAGTCGAAGGCCGGTGTCCTTCACGGTTGACCCGTTGGAGACGTGTGGACTTCAACGCCCAGAATCCCGAGCAAACCCCACACTCCCTTCTAGCCCTGAGGATGCTACCTGGTTGGGTAACGAGACATCTGCAAGGAAACTAGCAAGCTCAGAGAGAGCACCAAGGATCCCATAGTCGTCATCCTCATCCTCCTCCTCTAACTCCAACTCCAATTACTACTACTACTACTACTACTCTTCCTCCTTTCTAGCCCTGATGATGTTACCTGGTTGGGTCATGAAACGTCTACAAATCACCAAGCTGAGAGAGCACTACAATCATCATCATCATCATCTTTACTAGCTACCTAGTGTGAGCCATGAAACATCTGCAAGAAAACAAGCAAGCTCAGAGAGCACCAATGACCTCCATAGTCATCCTCCTCCTCTTCCTCCTCCTCCTGCTCCTCCTCCTCTCCACAAACCCCACTCCCTGCTAGCCCTGATGATGTTACCTAGTTGGGCCATGAAACGTCTGCAAGGAAACCACCAAGCTCAGAGCACGCCAAGAACTCCACAATCCTCCTCCTTTCTCCTCTCTCTCTCTCTCTCTCTCTGCAAATCCTTCTCCCTTCTACAACTGATAATGCTACCTAGTCGGGTAATGAAACGTCCGCAAGAAAACAACCCAGGTCAGAGAAAACCAAGGACACACGCACACACACACACACACAGCTCAACCCTAAGCTACAAATATCCTTTTCTATTGGATGCTTCTGATATAGATATATATCTCAATATATATACTTTCAAATTGAAGTAGAACAAGATGGAAGAAGAAAAGGGGGAGAAATACAAGAAAAAGCCAAAGGGCAAAAAAAAAAAAAGTGCATTGTAGAAGAAAAGTAGGGGGGAAAGCAGATATAAAAAAGCAGACACAAAATAAAAATAAGGACGTGGCTTCTGATTTTCTCCCCAGCGATTATAAAAACATTTATATTTTAACCTCTCTTTTCTCATGTTACATCTCCTTTCTATAGTCTATTTGTCCAGTTTAATCATCAAAACCAGAAATCACAAGTCTTTTTTTTTTTTAAATCACAAAGTTTAATTTGAAGTTTGGGAGGGTTTTTTTTTCCCTCTTTTTTTACACACAAAGTCCATAATATAAACTTAATTGGTTGATCGATTGATTGAAGACTATCTCTACATTGACCAGTGACTGGAAACCCCTAATGAATGAATTCATTCATTTGAGGTTTCCAGTCACCCATAATTATTAATTTAATTAATCTGGGATTTCCAGGCACCCATGTTATTAATTAATTAATCAGGAGTTTCCAGGCACCAATCATTATTAATTCAGGGGATTATTAAATAAGGGGTTTCCAGGCATTGATAATTATACTTATTGCTAATTATTAATTAATTAATTAATCAGGGATTTTGCAGGCATCTGATGATTAATTAATATGTGGTTTCTAGGCACCCAAACATTATTATTAATCAGAGGTTTCCAGATAGCTATTATAATTAATTAATTAATCTGGGATTTCCAGGCACCTGATCATTATTAATTAATTAACCAGAGGTTTCCAGACACCAATAATTATTAATTTAATTAATCTGGGGTTTCTAGACATCAATAATTATTAATTTAATTAATAGAATAGAATAGAATAGAATAGTGGAATGAAGAAATAGAATGGAATGGAATAGGTAGGTAGATGATAGATAGATAGATAGATAGATAGATAGATAGATAGATAGATAGATAGATAGACGATAGATAGATAGACAGATAGACAGATAGATGTTAGATAGATAGAATTCTTTATTGGCCAAGTGTGACACAAGAAATTTGTCTTGGTGCAAATACTCTCAGTATACATAAAAGAAAAGATACATCTGTCAAGAGTCAAGAATCATCAGGTACAATACTTAATAGTAGTCATAGGGTACAATGAGCAATTCCATTCCAAAGAATGGAATGGAATGGAATGGAGTGGAGTGGAGTGGAGTGGAGTGGAGTAGAGTAGAGTAGAGTAGAGTAGAGTAGAGTAGAGTAGAGTAGAATAGAATAGAATAGAATAGAATAGAATAGAATAGAATTGGAAGGGACCTTGGAGGTCTTCTAGTCCAACCCCCTGCCTAGGCAGGAAACCCTACACATTTCAGACAAATAATTATCCAACATCTTTTTTAAAACTTCCAGTTCTTAATTTTTAATTTAATGTTAATTAATCTGGGGTTTTCAGGCACCCGATCATTATTCATTTAATTAATCTGGGGTTTCCAGGCGTCGAATCATTCCTAATTAATTAATTAGGGGGGCTCACCGCCACCCATCCCCGTGGAGCCTTTGTCTTTTCTTCAATCGAACCCATCCGTTCCTTCGTCCCCACGGGAGCGCAGAGGGAAACTGAGGCCAGGGGGTCCCTGGAGATCGGGGGGGGGAGGGAGGGGTGGCGCTGGTACGGGTGGGGAAGGGGGGGTTGCGAGGCTCCTCCTTTTCCCCCCTCCGACCAGCCACCCGGCGTCCCCGTTTCCCCCCCACACCCGCTGCCATGAACGCGAGGAGGAGGACCCGTCGTGGGCCACGGCTGCTGCTGCTGGCGCTGCTGGTGCTGGCGACGCGCCCCGACGGCTCCGGGGCTCAGCGGACGCCGCCGGCTTGGAGGCAGCAGATCCGCTGGGAGAACCGGGGTCGCCACTACAGCCTCTTCAACAGCGCTGCCCGTTTCTTGCCAGCCCGGGGAGTCGCAGCGGCTCCGGAGCCGCAGACCTTCTACCTGAGCGCCGACGGCGCGTCGTCCGCGGGAAGGAGCGCCGAGGAAGAAGGGTCGGCCACCGGGACGGGGCCGCGGACGGGCCCCGGAGCCGGTGTCAGAGCAGCCGGCGGGGTCGGAGGGGCTGGGCGACGCGACGGAGCGACGACCCGGAGCGACCGCCGGGGGTCTCCTTGGCTCTCCCCGAACAGCGTCTACGACCGTCCCGCCGTCCGGCCGGGCTCAGCCCGACAGAGGTCGGGTTACGGGACCCTCCGCTTCCACCACGGTAAGCCCACCCCGCCCCCCACCCCGACGACGCGGGGGAGGGTTGGTGGGGAGGGGGGCGAGCAGGGGGTCCGGGAGGAAGTAGAGGCGGGTGGTAGAGTGGGTGGGTGGGCTTTGGATCTCCTTCGCTTTGGGAACAGCCTATCCCGCGGGGTTAACAGATAATCAGAGTTGGAAGGGACCTTGTAGGTCATCTAGTCCAACCCCCCACCCCCCAAGCAGCAGACCCTGCACCATTTCTGACAAATGGCAGTCCAATCTCTTCTTGAAGGTCTCAAGTGATGATGCTCCCACAACTTCCGAAGGCAACTTCTGTTCCATGGGTTGACTGTTCTCCCTGTCAGAAAGTTTTTCTCCTAATTTCCAGGTTGAATCTCTCCTGGATCAGTTTCCATCCATTGTTCCTTGTCTGGCCTTCAGGTGCTTTAAAAAAATAGCTTGACCCCCTCCTCCTCTCTGTGGTAGCCCCTCAAATATTGGAAGACTGCTATCCTGTCTCCCCTGGTCCTTCTCTTTACTAGACTAGCCAGGCCCAGTTCCTGTAACCATTCTTCATATGTTTTAGCCTCCAGACCTCTAATCATTTTTGTTGCTCTTCTCTGTATTTTTTCTAGAGTCTGAACATCTTTTTTTATAATGTGGTGAACAAAACTGGATGCAGTACTGGTTGTTTGCTACCGTCCCAACTGGAGAGCATCTAGAATTGTATTTGCTCAAAATTGGAAAAATGAAAAAAAAAAAATCCGATGGAGGAGGAGGGGGTGATTGAGAAAATATTGGAATATGCAGAAATGAGTGCAGAGGTTGGACTGCCATTGATCAGAAATGGTGCAGGATCTCCCACTTGGGCAGGGGGTTGGATTAGATGACCTATAAGGTCCCTTCCAACTCTGATTATCTGTTTATCTGAGTAGGTTCACACTAGCAATTAGACAGCAAGAAGAAAGAGAGAATTATAAGGTTTGGGATCTATTTTTATGGATGGTTGGGAAATGAAGCAAGAAATTTAATGACACTAATAATGACACTGATAGATAATGTTGAAGAGGCTATAATATGAATGTAAACTCAGTAAGATTTGGGATCTATTTTTATGGATGGTTGGAAAATGAAACAAGAAATTTAATGACACTGAAATTATGATATACTATGATAGATAATGTTGAAGAGGCTAAAATAGGAATGTAAACTCAGTAAGATTTGGGATCTATTTTTATGGATGGTTGGAAAAC